AAAAAATGTTTCGTTTTCGATACTTTGGCCATTAATGGGTTAATAAAAAAATAATAATTGACCTAAATGAAACTTACCGTAGATTGATTTCTTACCTGAAAATAAAAAAAAAATATTATAGTTATTAAGTATATATTAAATTACATTAAATATATTAAATGAATTTAATATTAAAAAGTTAAATTTAATTAAAAATTCAATACGACCACGGATAGATGGAGAGCTGAGCTTGATTTGGGTCGTGATTGGGAATATGGACAAACTGTACAGAAATATGTTAAATTAGTTCATTTTAAAAAATATACTAGTAAACAACAACTCCAATTAGGGTTTTTAAACATATTATCAACAAAACACTAACTCACCAAACCCATCCTTAAAGCCAGTGTTAATTCTTTTATTCAACACACAAATTCAATCACCATCTATGAGGTACTGCAGTTTTACCGACATAAATTTAGATACACTTAACTTTTTGGACCTAAAGGTGCTTTTAAGTTGCTTATACAGAGTGTCGAGAATCTCTCCTGAAAAATTTAACCCAATTCACCTATTCCGAAAATGATTTCTAAGAAACCTAGAGCTCTTTAAAGATGGCCCCATGCAATTAGTTTTTCTTTAATACCTCCAAAGCGCTTCTAGTTAGAAAAACGAAAACTGGTACAATTATTTATCATCTAGATTTAAATCGATTTTTTTAATTGCGAATTTTTAGTATAGGTCATAGGCATCCGTTTTGGGTACGTCAACGGTTATTTAATGCATAACCTTTTTGTCTTTAATCTTTAAGCATTCATTTTACTAGAATTTTAAATTTTTAGATATTCTAGTACTAAAAGGTACTCTTACTTTACGTCGGTAGGATACACCATTTTCTAGAAAGATTGATTTCAAATTTTTTTGTTTTTCGTCATGAAAGTTAAATTAATATTTAACTTAATTTATTTTTCATCTTTTGTTTCAATAAATGCAACATACAATTTGTAAAAATAGTTTGGCAAAAGAAGCAAACAATCAAACTGAAATATAATTTTATTATAAAAGGTTTTTAAAAATAAAGTATTTATTACGATGGAATGAAACTAACACAAAAAAGAGCACGTATCAAAAGTAGATAGTTACAAAAGATGCTCCTTATGATGAACATTAGCCTGTATGTATAAATTTGGCCATTTGGTTAGAAAACGCCGAATTATAAAAAAAAGTTATTTCTAAATTCGTTGCAAATATCCTTAGCCAGAGTTTTGCACGATGTGGTATCGGAACGAAATAAACAAATGCTTTTCCTCCTCCCCAGTCGTAATTCCTTTTGGGATGTGGTGACATCATCAGACTTTTATAGTTTTTTCACGGTTTCCCTCCATCCTTCCCTGTCCTGGGCTAATTGTTCGGCTTCATGTAACCCTTGGTTAATCAATATTTTTGTTTGACTTACCCAACGGCTTTGAGATCTACCCCTAGGTATCTTTCCTTCAACTCTACCCTCGACTATCAGCTTTTCCGTCGTACCTGTTCTTCTAGCAATGTGTCCAAAATACTGCAAATTTCTCTGTTGTATTTGTTTAAGTAATCTAATGCAAATGCTTTTATGTATCTAATCGCAAGGTTTAAAATTAGGCGACTTTGCTGACCAAGCAACTGGACCGCCTCTTCCAATCCAGTGGTCTTCGCAGTTATTATCAAGAAAGTCTCGTACCTTCCTGCTAAAGTGGGCCGGACAGCCGTCATGTAGAAACTATAAGTTTTGCCGAATATTTAAAGGTACAACATCCAATGAATCCCGTCAAACATTTTGCGGGAAATGTAAGTAATCAGCACCGTAAATGAGCAGGCAATTCCACAGGCTCAAGTAGATAATCGTTAACTATTCCTATCCAGACGTTTATGCTAAACTTATGTTGATGCTTAAAATCTTGAACAGCATGGTGATTGTCATCAACACACGAATTATATACATTACAAATTAATTTTTTTGTAAATGTAGTTTTGTCGCAAATCAAAATTTATCTGAAAAAAATCTTCATTTTGATTTGTCTGATATTGTACCATCTGGTAAATTCTTCACGAGCAGGAAAATCTTGTTCTAGCTGTGCTTGTGCCTTTGTAAAATGGAAAGGATATAAATTTTTGTTGTGTGAGATATTTTCTACGGAAGACTTTGAAATTGTGGGATACATGGCAGATAGTCTTCGAACGCAAATCTCTGGATTTTTTTAACTTCCATTAAAACAACATCTTTATGTGCTACTGTTACATAAAAATCATTTTGGGACCACTGAACCTGTTTCCCTTAATCGTTGATAATGAGTGTAAATATTAAGTGAGTGGTATCACGATTGGGATATTTTTCAGGGTATCTACGTGGTGCTGCTCGAACATTAAAACTCATTTCGCCATAAACTAAAGCATATAAGAGTATTCCTCGTTAGTAAAAACAATTTTTGTTGAATTAAAATTGTCATATTTGAATGCCACAAAGTAAAGAACTAAAAGATAAACTTTGAAAACCGACACAATTTGAAAATTAAAAACATAGGATATAAAAGATTTATTTTAAATCCTTTATAAAAGGTATATAATAAAATGCCCAAACGGGCTATCACAAATATATTACAAAACGTTTTCGGATTGTTAAATCCATCATCAGTGTAAACGAGGTATACATATACGAGACGAAGTGTCTTCGAGGACCTGTTGATAACAACTGAAGTTGGGTTGAGGTATTACTTCAGTTGTTATCAACAGGTCCTCAAAGACACTTCGTCTCAGGATCATTTTACCTATGTAGGGTCATACGTCGCGTTACCAATTCCAACGGTAACTTAAACATCATAATTTGTAACCACATATAATGTAAAATAATTGTAAATTCATATCATTTAAAGGGTTTTGACCCATATATTTTGGTAGCTCATAGCATGTATACCTCGTTTACACTGACGATGGATTTAACAATCCGAAAACGTTTTGTAATATATTTGTGAGGCCCGTTTGGGCATTTTATTATATACCTTTTATAAATGATTTGAAATAAATTTTTTGTGATATATGGTATACAGCCAGCTACAGGAACTTAGTTTCCTATGTGGATATGTTGATATGTCAAAGCCAACTAGTGCTAAAACGTTCAGAAGGCATTAAAAAAAAATAATAATGACGACACTACCTTGAAAGAGCTCTAACTCCCTTAGAAAGCATTTTCAGTTGAATTAGAGTAAATTGTGTAAAAATTATCTGAAGAATCTCCGATCTTCGTTTGTCAGGAGAGTTCTAAATACCCTGTATTCATGCCTATTGAATTAATAAATATGTATTTTGGGTTCCAATAATTTCACACTTAATTCCACTCCCAGTAAAATAAATTTTATTCTGCATACCATCTTATGTAGTTGTATTAATTTTTTAAAACAGTACATTGATTCTAAATCAGTCTGGTTTGATAAACAGACTCATGTTTTCGATAAATCTTAACTTCAATTTTTACAATATTAATTTATCACATAAGGATAAGTATTTATTTAATCCAATTTACGGTATCCTCTTTAAATTAGCCAATAGCCACCCACATAGTACGCTATCAAATTCACGAGAATTATCAATAATGAATATCATTTTTTAACCTCTTTCTCTTTTATTAATTAGTATCCACAATAACTATTCTCAATAGCTGTTAATCTGCCTTACCATCTTTTTATCACATTACACACTATTACCCAAGTTTTTACTTGGGCAATACATTTACAACAATTTAACTTCATAATTAATTATTTATTAAATTTATCTTTTTAACCGAATTTTTTTGTATATTATAATTACAACACTATGGTGCTTTAAAATCAAATTTTACACAAAAACATTTCTATGAATTATTACGTGAGACTCACGTCTTGAGTGGTCTCCAAAAATCCACTAACTATTCTCCTGAGGACCTGTTAATTTCAACAAACATTTTTACGTCCTCCCCAGCTTAATCAGTCGGCTGGTACCATTAGTTGGAATAAGTTGTCCACCCTTTCGAGTAGGGTAGATGTATGTTCCCTTCGTGTTAAATCTTGTATCATCGACCTAATGTAATTGATATATTATACAAATCATGAATGTGTTGCTTGTGTGAGTCGATTTCAAATAGGTAAAAAGAAATAAAATTGGTAATGATCAAGCAGTTACAATAAAATCCGAAGATCACCCATCATCAGCAATACAGGATAGTTTGAACTATGTTTTCCGAATTATTAACTAATAATTCTGGTACCAGATTGTAAGTAGTATTTTGCTTATTTACTTATTTATTACAATTCAATAGATTATCTTATACCAATTTGTGGGTTTTTACTTTGTCTGCTTAATCAATTTTTATTCATATTAATAAACACATATTGGTATTATTGGCATAATTACTGTAATTTTTATCTTTATCTTTATAAGACAACGCCCTAATATGGGCTTTGTCTAATTTCAGCATTTAATTTACTTGGTACCAATTAACCTGAAGATGCATTGCAAAGTGTAGAAAGCAAATCCGGTCGTTTTGGTAATAAAATTAAATTTATTGTGAGCAAGTCATATTTTATTTCTTTTTACTTATTTGCTTTATTATAATTCACAATGATTATCATGTAAGAAAATTGTTTTTGCATCTATTAGGTAGCTAGACGACTTTCAACGTAAGTATTTTCCGCATGTTTTGTATCTTATCAGTCAAAATGCTACCTTATGATTTTTGTCATTTTAAAATGGAAATATACTTTAGGGCTTTTTCAGTGATGATGGTCTGGATTGACCGAAAACGTTTTAAAGATTTGTTATGCATTTGACCAAATTTTTAAATTATTTTTAATTAAAAATATAGCATTATACACAAGAAGTTTTTACTTCTGCCTATGGTAAACAGTCCACCACGGAGATTTTCTTCTTTACTTTAATTTTACTAGAACATTCCATAGCATTATTGACTTATTATAAAATAAATAAATTAACTCTTAAATACATTACTTTGTGTATATATTTACTCTTTTACAATAATAATACAAATATTTACAAATACTTAAAGATAAAGTCCGTGAGCTGAAACAACACCAGCACCATGCCTGGAGGTGGCAATGGTTCCAGAGGGTCCGGCTACAACCGTGTCAATGGAACTGTGTCCGACAACTGGAGCTGCATAAGCAGATACTACTGGAGCGGAATATGCTGATACTACTGGAGCAGAATAAGCTGATAATACTGGAGCAGAGTAAGCTGAGACGACGGGATGAGAGTAAGCTGATACAAGAGGGGAAGAGTAGGCCAATGGAGCATTGTATGCAGAGTAAGCTGAGACTACGGCTGGGGCATGAGCAACTACTGGGGCGGTATGGGCAATTACTCCTGGGTGTTCTTCGGCAACGATTGAAGCTCCTGGTGCTACAGAGGAGATCACGCTACCGTCAGCACCTACCAAAGTAGATCTGGCACTAGGTCCTTGCACGATGGTGGCTGAAGGAGCAGCATAGGTGGCTGCTACAGCAGCGAAGAAAGCTACAAAGGCCTGTATAAAAATTAAAAAACAAATATTATTTAATATTTCAACTCCTAATGTATATATCAATAATAATAATAAGTAAGTTTGACAATAAAATAACTGATAGTGTGCTTAACTAAAATAATTTTATATAAACTACTATAGCAATACCTAATTTACTATTATTTTTAAAGAACACTATAAATATAGGTGGTTGAAAATAGAAGCAGCTAGAAAGCCTAGATTGGCTAAGAAATCAAAACGAAACTTGAAAGTTCCACAGAAATATAAACAAAATAAGTAAAGAATTTGAATTAAGAACAGAAAACTAAGAAATAAAGAAAGACGGAGAGAAAAATATCCTAAATATTAAGATCTCATTCTTAAACAGATGGGTTAAATTCTTTGAAGCAAAATTTAATGGCCATCATATTGAAGAAGTAGGTAACACCCTATTAGATCGAATTGATTGGAATCTATTCAAGTCAAACGAAAGACCACCTACTATTGAAGAGGTTGCCTAGCCATAACTGAGCTTAAAATGGTAAATCATCAGGAACTGATCAAATTTGTAGCGACCTTTACATGAATGGATAGCCTTGCTACATAAACTGCATAAACTTTTGCTTCTTGTCTGACAAAATGAGATAATACCTTGTGAATTGTCTCAAGACGTGATATGATTGCTACTTAAAAAATGATTAGTTTCAGTGTTACAAATACAGAGGTATAACCCTGTTAATAACGGCTTACAAAATACAAGCAAATATTCTCTATCAAAGGCTAGAGGTTTACACAAAGGGCATAGCTAGAAAATACCAAGTCAGATTCACTCCATAACAATCAATAATTAACCAGATTCATTCAATAAGACAGATCCTTGAAGAAACATTAGAATTTACCATTAAAACACATCATCTATTCGTCGACTTTAAGGCAGCATACGAGAGTGTCAAGAGATGATTACTATACCAATTTTTGCGTGTGTTTGATATACCAGAAAAACTTATTCGATAACCGAGAATTACAATGTCTAACTTTAAAGCCAGTGTCAGGATACAGGGAAAGAATTCTAGAACTTTGAGATAAAGAATGTTTATATATTATTCATGTTTGTTATTTAATATTGCCTTGTAGAAGGCAGTCCAAGGCATTTTTACACATACATTGTTACTTAGTCCAATATTTGAAGCTATAGACGAATAAAGGAAGTGACGTAAAATATATAATTTCAAATTATACCAAGTCTTTAATGAACCAGACGTTGTATCGTTTATTCAAATACAGCGACTTAGATGGTCTGGATACCTAATACCAATGATAAACAACACTATTGATAAAAAGCTAATCCCAGAAACACCTGTTGAAAGAAAGCGGGGGCCGATTACGAATTGAATTGTTAGGAGTTGAAACTGACTTAAAAATATTAAAAATTAGAAAACGGCAACAGCGACACATAGTAGAGAAGACCAGGATCCATAAAAGGATTGTAAAGACAAAGATGGTGATGACGGTTGAAAAAAGTGTCATATAAAAAAATCTAAACAAAGAATCTACGTATCGGTTACGATATAGAATATATATAGAACATGCAAACCAGTAAAAAACTAACGAAAATAAAAACTAACATTAAATAATGTAACCAAACCACACATTTATTTTCTATTTCAATATTAAAGCTAAGTATTTTGTTAAACGTTGAGTTAAACGCTAAAAAAATATGTTAAAATTATTATTTACTACCAAATGAATTCTTTGGCACCAGAGAAGCATTATTTACTGTACAAACACTAATCGAGCGATGTCAAGATGTCAATTACGACGTATTCATATGTCTAGTCGACTTCTAAAAAGCTTTCGACAAAGTACAACACCGAATAATGGCAAAAATACTGCAGAACACAGAATTAGATGACAAAGAAGCGAGAATCTATACCGATATCAGAAAGCCATATTATGAATAGACTAACAAAAATCGAAATAAATACCTATAAATCGTAAAGTAAGACGAGGATGTTTGCTTGCCCCTTTACTTTTTAATATATATTCAGAAGAATTGTGTAAAGAGGCATCAAAAGACGTCAATGAAGGTACATTTATTAACGGGGCACTTCTGAATAATCTTAGATGGCACACAGATGACACAATACTCCTTGTGGACAGTAGAGAAGGACTACAGATCTTGGTTGATCCCATTGTCCAATACTGCAAAAGGTATGGAACAGCACTGAATACAAATAAAACAAAAATCATGGAGGTAAGCAAGAACAAGATTGAGGAAGACTGTGTTAATGCTAAGGGAACACTTTTAGGCAGGGTGCACAGATTTCATTACTTAGATTGCGAACTAAATGAAGAACGAGATAGATAGAGATAAGTAATACGGCTTACTGAGATAGCTAAAACTTCTTTTAATACGATGAAAGTAATATTATGCAATGGAAAACTCAACATTGAAATTAGAACTAGACTATTGAGATGCTACGTGTTCTCTGTCCTGTTTTATGTAGTTGAGGCCTGGACAATTACAGAGGCGATAAAGAAAAGACTCAATAACTTTGAAATGTGGTATTATCGAAAAATGTTAAAAATATTATGGACACAACACATAACAAATACGAAAACGCTACGAAAAATGAAAAAAGATGAAAAAAGAAATGCTCAACACTATTTAGAAAAGAAAAATGAGATACTTTGGTCACACACTAGGAAACGATAAATACAAATTGATGCGACCGGTCATACAAGGGAATGTGGAAGGTAGAAGAAGACAAGGGAGAAGACACACGTTCTGGTGAAAGAGTCTGAGACAATGGAGTGAGAAAACGTCAATATAACTTTTCAGAACGGCTACAGATACAGTAAAATGTGCCATAATGATCGCTAGTGTCCTTAGGAATGGGACACGTTAAGAAAAAGAACAAATTTTTCAGTTTTATGTTGTGAATTATATGTTAAAAGAAAACTTTTAAAATGCCAATACCGACATCTTGGTAATAATGGTAATAATAATTTATACCTATCGAAATCCCACAGCAAGATGCATAATAGAAATATAAAAAAAAGAAAACAAAGAAAATAGTATTGTTCTGAAGCTATTTTCTTGTGGCATTGTAAATTAATTACTATTTAACTGGGAATAAATCACAATTAAAGATAAAACTACGTTTATTGACGTTTCAATTTCCACTTCGGAAATCTTTTTTGAGAACGATTTCCGAAGTGGAAATTGAAACGTCAATAAACGTATTTTTATCTGTAATTGTGGCTTATTCCCAGTTAAGTAGTAATTAAATAAAATAGTACAAACAAATAAAATCAATAATATACACTCTAAATAATCTAACGAAATCATAACAGTTGAAAAAAAATGGAAAATACTAATACTCAAGATGTGGATATATTATAGTGTAAATTTTAAAATTTGAATGCCAAAGAGTTCTAAAAGAAATTTCAGAAAGAATAAAAAATGTATGAAAAGCAAAAATATAACCAAGACAATAAAAGGAATAAGCTAAAAATCTAAAAATGAAAAAATCAAAAAATCGAAAAATCGAAAAATTGAAAAATCGAAAAATCGAAAAATTGAAAAATCGAAAAATCAAAAAATTTAAAAATCGAAAAATTGAAAAATTAAAAAATCGAAAAATCGAAAAATTGAATCGGTTAAATTTACAAAATTTTTTTAGAACGTAAACTTTAATGTTCCCATTTTGATTTCTTTATCAAATAAAAACGTAAATTTTTAAACCAGGAAAAAAGAAATAGTAAAATTATTTAATCAATAAATGTATAACAAGTTCCTAAATTACAAGAGGGAAATTGAATTTCAACTTAGCGGTTGAAGCTATAAAATCCAACAACTTCGTCAAAACGAGAGTTTAATTTGTATTATTTCGAACAAAAACGGTAAAACGAACAAACATAAAAGGTTTTTTACTTTTAGAAGTAATTATTAATTATACCCAAACAATTAATGAAAATGCTTCTTTTTTAAATGAGAATTAGTTATTAAAAGAAATTATTATAATGGAATTTGTTTATTTATAACTGTATAATAAAAAAAAGCAATGTAGTTAAAATTTGTTATACATAATTCGATTTTAAAATTTTTCTTACCAAGCAGTTCATGTTGTCTTAAGTTGATTTGATTCCGTTGGAGATACAACTGATAGTGGTCACTCGAAAGAAGGATTAATTTATACCTAACTAGAGCACACGCGTAGACCTTGGAGACACCCAAATTTAAAACGTCAGATGGCAACTTATATTACCAAAAAATATATCCAGGATAAGGATGTAAATGTTTAAATTTTTTTCACAGATCTGTGGGAGCATTTATTGTGAATTTTATTATTATTCAATTAAGCATTTTAAATGCAATTTAGTTACACGAAATCCAATTAAATCTGATTAAAATAAGAACCTATTTATTTTATCTTCATGAAAAATCTATCGGTTATCATTGTTATACCAATAACGAATTAAATTTTTCTTATTTGCTATTTATTATTATAATTGTTGTATAAATGTTTGTTCTGTAACAGACGAAAATATGGAAAAATTTAATCTAATTTTAAAACAGCGTTGGAGTACTAAAGTCCCTGATCAAAAAAAGTATAAAAAATCTTAATTTCTGTCTGTATTTTTACTTATATTTTTCACATTTTCCCATTTTACAATTTCCCCAATTATATTTCTCCACAAGTATCTGTTTTGACTTACAGTTCATTAAAAAGCTATATAAAGGTTACATTTTTAAGAGAATGCAATTTTTTTTGATGTGTTGGGGTGGTTAGTGTAAGCTTAATTTCAAGTTTGTAACCGCCATCTTGTTAAAAGATGGGCTAAGGGCTTTCGCGCTGTATCTCGTAAATTAGCAACCCCATAGAAAAATCATTTGTAGAAAATTAAATTTTCTACAACTTAATTTTTATTACTTTTTATCGTAAAATTGAAAATAAAATCTAAACAAAAGATCTAAAAAATTTTTAGCATCTTTTTCTTTTGGGCCTTACAATTTATTTGCTGGTTATTTTACCATAAATTGACAACAGTAATATAAAGGTGTTTTTTATTTAGAGCAAATTTTACTACAAATTTTATTAATTTCATTAAAAATATTTGAAAAAAGTTTCTTTTGGGTAATAGAACTTTTATATAGTCATTTAAAAATAAAAAGACATGAGAACAATATTATAGAACGTGTTTAATAAATAATTTTAATAACAAATGTGTTTAATTTCACTAATTTCTTTGAGATTTACACCACTCAGGAGTTGACTATGTTCTTAAATACTAATAAAAATACGATAAAAAAGAACCATTAAGCTTAGTTGTTAGTAGATTCTGGGGACGAGTTTTTTTTTCCTATGGTATTCCTATTAGACCTAATTCACTGACAATTTCCAAACGAGATAATATTTAGCATAATATTATGTTTTAAAAGTTGTTTTCCTGCTAGTGTTTTTTAATTTTCTTTAATAGTAAATGTTGCGGTTCGGATCTAATTCAGTATCAAACGTGAATGTTTGCGAAAGAAAGGAAGTTACAATTGTTATTATTATAGTTAATTTATCATTGAATTCGTCGAATTTTTCGATTAATTTTAATATTTTCATGATGTCACTGCAGGTTTTACCACAAGAATTGAGGCACACTGCAGCAACTTAGTAACTTAGTAAGTAACTTCAGTTACCAGCTGAAGTCCGTTTGAAGAGGTTTACTCTCCGAACGCTGGAACTCACCTAAAGCATGGGTGTAATGTTACCTAAAGTAAAATGTAATAAAATATTAAACATCAAATATTAATAACAACAATATGTACAATCTTTGTTAACCTTATGTATTTTAAAGGGTTTTTACCCTAATATTTTGGTGGCTCAGGCATAACGAGAAACTTAACTCACACAAATATGATGTTACAAATGGAACCAAACATTTTACAGCTTCACTCGCCAACTGGGGGTATTCCCCCAGTTGGCGAGTATATCTGTATATCTGTTCGGTCCAAAATTGGTCCAAGTTCTGGGAAAAAAATTGGAGCTTCAATTTTTTCTTTCATGTTTATTGGTATTTTAACATGCTAAAAGGAATCGGCTAAAAACGGATTTAGTATTCATCTGCAACTGTCGTAACTGTTTTGAATTTCTTCGGGGAAATAATCACAGAGCTGTTGTTTTAAATTGGGCAAAGTAACATGCATGTCAGCAAAAACTTGTTCAAAATTTGTAGCACTGTAATTGGATACATTTTCCATAATTTCCTGAAGGCACTGGAATGAATCGAGTTGTTTTTGGCCAAATGAGGTCGACCATATATTGATTTTTCTTAGAAACGCCTTAATTTTATCTGTGGCTGTCATTATATAAATGTCGCGACCTTGTAAATTACTGTTCAAAATATTTATTTGCTCGAAACTATCAGCAAGGAAACCTAGTTTCAGAAGCCATATGGGATCGGAAAATTAATTTTCATATGGGAACTTCTCATCTTTCAAATACATTAAAAGCTCTGCTCTTAAGTGAAATACTCTTTTTAAGACGTTGTCCCTTGAAAGTTACCTTACATAGGTGTGATAGAGAAAATTTTCAAATAGAGCACCCATGTCTTCACAATTTTTTTTAAAATACGGGTCTGCAAAGCTTTTCCTTTAATGGAATTTACAACTTTAATGATGGTTTTCATAACACAGTCCATTTCATGAGGTAAAGCTTTTGACGCAAGAGCTTCTCGATGTAAAAAACAATGTCTCCATTTGGCATAAGGCATTATTTCTTGTAATTTGACGAAAAGACCAGATTTATGTTCTGTCATAGCTTTAGCGTTATCTGTGCATATAGCAATACATTTTCCAGTGGTATTGGTCTCCAATGGGGAACAAAATAAAATATCTTCTTCAATGCCATTATTTGTATCATACCTTACAAACGTAATGAATTGGGCACAGTTAGATATATTTGTGGATTCGTCTATTTGAAGAGAGAAGTACGTGCATTTATTAAGATTTTCCACAACTTGCGCTTGAATATCTTCTGCCATATCACTAATTCTTCATTGGATAGTATTATTTGACAGAGGTATTGTATTTAATTTTGCAGCCTTTCTTTCTCCATACATTATATGTACGATTTCAACAGCTGCTGGAAAAATAAGATTTTCAGCAATTGTGTGCGGATTGTTAGTTTTGGCAACACGATAAGCAACTTTATAACTTGCTAATATTGCTTTTTCATTAGTAGTGATTGCCAAGGAAAAACTGTCTTGCTGTTTGTAAAGGACGTTAAGCTTTCTTTCAAAGAATTCTCCGGGCTTGTCTTTTTTATTTGGATGTTTGCTATTTAAATGTTGAAGTAACTTTGATGGCTTCATGCTTTCTTTTGACAAAACTTGTCCATAAATAACACATTGTGGTTTATTGTAAATAACGGTAAAAGCATATTTAAGGTATTCATCAATGTAGAATCTGTTTTTCTTTTTATTGCTGCTACTGCCACTTTCAGACGTAGATAAAAACTTATCCATAATTCATAGTTTATCGTAGACGTAAATACGTAAACGGGAATACGTAAGTCGTAAAATATTTACTAATTACTCAACACCGCGTTCGCCACCATAGGCTGCTTGGATTCGAACTGAGGTGTCGTTGCGCATCGCCGCTTATATAAAGCCAAAAAGAGGCTACCAGAACGTTCCAGAGTGCCATCTAGTAGCGAGCGCTTTTGCGATTATCATGGAAGAGTTTTGCGACGTAGATACAAGCTAATATGTCGCGGTGTACAATATGCAGTCGACTTCTTATTATTTATTTTGTATTGTATTAACCCTCCGTTACTCGCGCAGGGTGTTGTGAACACCCCATGCGTATATAACTGTTATTATTTTCTACGCAATAATATCATTGTCATCGTGCGCCTGTTTAGCTGCACATATTCGTCGTCTTTACCACCTGGAAGAATCTGATCAGTGTACTGTTAGTCGTTGTACCGTAAGCAAGTGCTTGGGGTGCTGCAAATACCCCGCAAGTAGTTAAGTTACATTTTGTTAATCGATATTTATTTTTTGCCTGTAAGTATATTTATTCTTTTTACACATATATGGTAGTCTGAACAAGTACTTTGTCTATATAATAGTTCCAATATTATTTTTAGAAAAAATAGGCGAATATGAGGCCGAACAAGCGCGATTACTCAAACTTTTTGATGAATGTACGAGCGATGATGAAATACCATCAGAGAAAGAATATCCTTCAGATGAAGAATTGACCCAAATACGAAGTGATTCTGAACCAGATAGTGAGAATTAAGTTATGATTGAAACTTCTAATGACGAGGACTTGACAAGTGATGACGAACAAGAAGACGGAAATCGTTTTTATCTTGGAAAAGACAAAATCACTAAATGGTCAAAGGAGAAGAATCGTGAGCAGGTGAGAACTAGAAGTCATAATCTAATTTTCTATCGACCAGGAACAATAAATATTGCCAGAAACTGTAAGGCTGTTATTGAATGTTTTAATTTGTTTATAACTGAAGACATAATCAAAGAAGTTACAGAAAGTACCAACATATTTATTAGTAAACTTTCGGCCAATTACAAACGTAAGAGAAATTGAAAAGAAACCAATGAGACAGAAATTCGTGCTTTAGTTGGATTACTAATATTATCTGGCATTTGTAAATCCAGCCATAGGAATATCAAAGATTTGTGGGATATTTCAACGCTTGGAATTTAAAGGTTTTACAAAAACTATGGGTTACAACCGTTTTTACTTTCTCATAAAATGTCTAAGGTTTGACAATATAAATACCCGCGAAGAAAGAATATTGCTGGACAAGTTTGCTCCCATTAGAAGTATTTATAATCAGTTCAATATTAATTGCCTCGCAAATTATTCGCTTAGCGAATTCGCCACCATTGATGAACAACTTTTAAATTTTAGGGGTAGATGCTCTTTTCTACAGTATCTACCAAACAAGCCGGCACGATATGGTCTTAAATTTTTCGCTATATGTGATTCCAAGACATTTTATACTTTACAATTTGAACCTTATATTGGACAGCAGCCATATGGTCCTTTCCAAGTTAGCTATAAGCCCATTGATATTGTGCAGCGTTTGTATCGTACACTCTTCGGTTCAGGAAGAAATATCACAACGGACAACTGG